CGAGCTGCTTTTAGATTTTAAAATAATAACTTCCCTGCATGAGCCTTCCTGAAATGGTGAAGTCCTTTTCCTGCCAGCTGGAGCTGCCCCAGGGAACTTGATTCCTAACCAAACAGTGGCATGGTTCCAGGTTATAAACAGCCAGTCCTTACAGCCAACCCCAGACCAATGTCTAATCTCAGGTGGCTTATTTCTGGACACCCCCACCTTCGGTGACTGTCTGCTGGTACAGCCCCACCATCATCCGCTCTGTCTAAATATTTCTAAGGTATCTGTCACCATCATCTCAAAGCACCAAAACACTGTGTGCTTTTCCAACTTGAGAATGACTTTACCTTCTGAATCATCAAAAAGACAGCAAAGGGTGTTTGGGATAGTTTTCCTGTTTAATGTCGAAGCAGCGGTTGTCCCCCTGTTTCCATGAATCACCCGTCTTTGGATACTTCTGAAGCCTCTGAAGGAAGCATCCATAGCCACTGGATATATGTGGTGGGTAGAGAGGGGTGAGTCATGCTCAGAGGGGTGGTGTGCAATCTAGACCACAGCAACTGTGCCTTTGAAGTGAAGGCCAGGTAAACAGTTACAGAGCATTTAAGGAAGAAATGGAGAGAATCAAGGAACTAAGCCCGGGGCAGGTAGAAATCATGACCTAAGCCCCTAGCAGCAACCACATTTTCTAGGACATGGCTTAATCTATGGTGTCTCAGTACACACAGGACTTGTGGCATTGAGAAAGCAGATAAAGCTAGGGACCAAAACAATGGAGTTTAATCACTGACACGTTCTAAAAACTAGGGTGCAGTCATAAAAGCATGGCGATGATTTTCTTTAACTCCAATAAGGGGAATAATTGCTACTTTCCTATCCCTTAGAAGCATTACAGAGAAGCACTGTGAGTTCGTTTCAGTGTACAGAAACATTAGTGGTGGACACCGTGGTGCCATCACTTCAGCTGGTATTTACTTGGCCAGGGGGAGGTGAGGTGACAGGAAGTACTCATGTATTCCTTCTCTTTATATTGGGGGACGATCCCCAAGAAGCTCTGATCTCCCAGTGCTAAGCAGAGGACAACGGACCTAATTGGACCAATTGTACTTTCTCTCTTAAGGCTACTTTTTTTGTTGGGAAAATACAAGAATGGAAAATAACATTTATGTTTGTTTGCTTGGGTTTTTTGTTTTGTTTTGTTTTGTTTTTTTGTCTCTCTCAAGGGAGCCCTAAAGATATTTTTCAACAATTTCTGCAACATAAACCCAAGAGCCCTGGAGATTCCTGACAATACTGAGGATAGCTACTATGTTAACCACTGTTATTTCCTTCTAGGGCATTTACACAACGGCCAAAGAAGTGCTCCATGTCACTACCAGACATATAGATCCTAAAAAGCTTCAGGTGAGCATTTATATATTTATACATTCTCATCAGCTATCCCCACTCTCCCTTTACCTGGGAGCAAGAGTCTTCAACATAGCAGAGTCAAACAAAAGAGAAGCCTAGAACCACATGCCACCACTTGGGATGGGGCACTGTTCATCTGACTACAACAAATGTAGAAATAAACTTTGGGGCAGAAAAGTTGTTGCATTTTGGGGGATGTTTGTGTAAAAGTTAAAGCTAATAAATTCTTTTCTAAGAAGGTATATTCTTTAGCTCTCCTTTCAATTTTGGTATCTTCCAATGCATTCCTCTCTCTCTCTCTCTCTCTCTCTCTCTCTCTCTGTCTGCCTGTCTCTCTTTTTCTCTCTCTCTCTTGCTTATGTTCACTAGAACCAGTGTTTTCAACCATAATCTGACAGATCTATCACTAATAATTGCTTAAATACCTAGATGAAGATTGTGACCGATGAAATCAAACCATATTATCTCACTCGAGACTGTAGATGTCTATTTGCTAAATCAGCAAAGACCTATGCAGTATTCAGTAACATGTAAGAGGCACAAAGTAAGAACTAGCTGTAGATTCTGCCCTTTGCCATTTTAAAGCATCTTTATGGTAGAACCCTCCTGGACAGGGCAGATGCAAACATTACAAACACGGAGAGGTATTAATGGTCCTTGGCTCTGCAGAGCCCATCATTCAATGCTACTAAGGAACTCTCAGTTTTGTGAGGAATCTAAGAAAAGTACACATATAGTATCAATGTTACCACTCTCATGAGGTAAGACCAGAACACACCGCCAAAGGGTTCTATTCTTGGCCTCGTTCATTTTATAGCAGTATCTGGGGTGATTCATCTATTCTCACATGGCTCTGCCTGTCTGTTGGTCATGATTCTTAAACCCACTGTCTCCTGTCTTCACTTTCCTCTGATTTCCAGACTTACATTTGCAGTTGTCAGCAAGAAATTTGCCATGGCAATTTTAGGTAACACTACTTACATTACTTGCTTAAAGGAATTGGATTCAATCTATGAAAAATGTCCTAATGAAACACAGACCCTAGAACTCTGTTGGTGTTCCACAGGCATCTTAAATCTTGCATGTCCATAACTAAACTCACCCTCTGCTTCTGAACCTGCATTTCCATCCCGTATCCTCTTCCCTAGCTAATGGGATGGCTGCTTGCCCACCTAGTTAGAAATCCTTGTACCCTGTTTGACTCATCTCTCTCACTGCCCTCTCTACACATCCCCAAGACTGATTGCCTTGCTCTCAGAACAGTTGTTAGGGTGTCTCCATTTTCTATTCTGGTTCAGAATCTCACACTTTTCATCTGTGCTTCAGCGGTGGCAATCTCCATATCAAACCCTACCCGGCTCTGCTACCTCTCATGAACCACCTGCCAGGCATACAGAGTATGTTTTCAATTCCTCCTGCACAAAACTTCATTCCAAATATTTGAAAACACGTCCCTTGGTCTTTAAGTTCTTTATTTGTTTGTTTGTTACTAGAATGAACCCTCTAGCCATTCCTGACAGGAAATTCAATAACCATTAGTTCGTGGTGTTGTAATTATCAAACTGTGAACCCCAGAAATCTTTGCAGGCAACTCTGTTCTTTGACAGAGAACCCAGAAATAAGGTTGCTTTCCTGGTCCCACAGAAGAAAAGACTATCAAACAAAAGAGCCTGCAGAATATACCAAACAACTCTAATTTTTTTTAATGTCACAGTATTTTGAAAATTTTTATAGAGGGGTGTCAATGATCAAGACTCAGAATTTTGCATTTAGTACTTTAGTGCAGTCAAAAATGTTGATAGACTGAAACCAAGTCCTTTAAATAATTGACACAAGTTGTATTGCCCAAAATTGTCCATGGCAAAACTATCATGTTTTGGATATTTCTAATCAGTGTAGAGCAGAACAGGGCTGTACGTGTCCCTCGGGTGCGTCGATGTAGAAGCCTTGATTTTATGCAGAGCTCTGATGGCAGTGGCCCTCATTTTTGTTCACAGTTCTTCTCAGAGCAATGCTAATTCCTGCTCCTCAGTCTCTCCTCCCATCACTGGTGATCATTGTCATCTGAGTCTTCCTTTCACTCACAATCTGCTGACCCCTTTTGGCCCCAAGAAAGGCATCCTCAACCCATAGTTAGCTTGGATTTGATCTGAAGGGATGCCCATGTCCTCAGATGGCAAAACTTTCCCTCCATTCATTTCCCCCACATCTGCTCAAGTGGGACCAAATTATCTAGAGTAGATTTTTACCTGGCCTCCCTTTTCTGCACACACACAATTACTTCTCTGCAGATGGCTGCCTCAGTCAAATCGCTGTGCCCACTATTATCTAACTGCAGGCTCTAACAAACTTCTTGTTCCTGCAAACTTCAAAAATTTATCTCTTAGATTCTGTCTGATTTTAAAAGCCGCAGCAGATCTCGAGTCTTACATTGTCAATAATTCTTTCACTCACTCCTTTAATTTCCATTTTCCTGCAAGTCACAGCATTTATAGTTTATGTGTTGACCCTAAGGATCATGTTTAAGTCAACCTTCTAACAAGGAAGGCCAATATCACCTCAATTCTGTTTGTAAATTGTAAGGCTAAGATATGAGAGTGATTGCTTTGCCAAAGTCATGACAAAAAACCTAAAAATTTTAAATCAAAAATGCTACTTTATCCTCGGGTATTGAGTTTCTCACAGTGGGTAAAAATCAGTCTTAAACTTCATTTTCTTTTCAAATATGGAACTCTTGCACGTTCCACAAATTAGTGTCAGCTAACTTTTAGAGGCTACAAGAAAACCCAATGTCTTCTCATGGTTTAAAGGGTACATCATCAATGATTGTCCCCCCTACAAATGATATAGAGTTTTCTTGTTTTCTGTGTTGGTTTAGTCTAAGTTTTTGTTTGTTTGTTTGTTTTATCTAATCAACATTTACAAAACACAAAAATATGCACTCAGTTTTCAAGGAGATCATTTCCCACTAACATTCCTCCAATCCACAAGAGGAAAAGTAGCCAAAGTAAGGAGTGTCCAGTTATGAAGCAGTTATATTGATAAGGATTAGAGCTTGAGAATAACTCAGATGCTTCCCCTTCCAGTTAAACCAGCACAGGTCTAAATGGCTTTTCTCATGGGGTGCATTTTATTTCTAGACTCTCCAGTTCACAGCCATCTTGCCTCTGATTATCTTAAGTAGAGACAATGGAGTGTGAAAAGATTCCTGGGGTCTTTAGAAGTACTTGCACACCAATGGGTTCTTATCTCTCTTTAGACTCTACTATACTTCAAAGGCCTCTGGCATTTTCTTCAACAATTAATTACCACGTAAAAAGACCAGAAAAGGATATGGGAAATCAGGGTTAAAAGTGACAGTAGAAAAGTAAGGGGCACTGAAGAAACGAGAAATGTTTCTGACAATGCTCCAAAAAGAGTCATAGCCTTCCAGAAGCAAACACGATAAATACAGCTACTGCCCAGAAAGAGAATATCCTACAACAGGCCTGTTTGTGCACAAAAGCTAAGACCATATATGCAGCCTGCTAATACATGCAGGGAGAAAAGGAACGCCATGCAAGCAGCCTAAGAGGAAAATGTCGCCCCTGGTTTTCACTTACCCAACACCAGCAGTTCCACCGAGTCCTCGTTTTTGCCTTCCAGGTCATCCGGAGTGGTGATGATGCAGTAATACAGGCCACTGTCTCCCCACAGGAGCTTTCCGATCTGAAGATCAGCATCTGTTATCACAAAGAGGAGGACCCACTCCGGAAGTAAGACACTGAACAAGGAGGCCTGGGGCAGGAGCACTCTTCTGGACATCTACACAGTTCTGTATCTCTGCCTGCATAGTGGTTGGGAAAATGCTGGCCTTATTTCAAACAAAATAATACAAAGTAGCATCCTTAAGGCAAGAGAATTAGAGTACAGCCAGAGACAGATCTAGTTCTAGTCCTCTTTCAAGAATAGTTGAGAGCTTTGAACTACGACTGTGCCTAAGAATCGGGTAATTTCCCAAATAATTTTGGGTTCCTAGAAATAAATTGATTTCTTCAAGTAATTTAATGATCGAATAGGTCATGAGACGTGACTTTTTCTTATGTAAAACTTAAGGGAACTAGAGAGAGGGTGGAATTGATTCATCTACTGGCTCTCTAGCTTGTATTCACATACCCCTTTTCCAGAAAAAGGAATTTTTAGGGGAGCCATTTTTTCAGGTTCAGTAAAGAGCTAAAAGAACAATGTCCAGGAACAGAATGTCTCCACTAAATAGTTCTGGAAAAAAAACTATTTCAAATAGTATTTTGAAACTATTTCAAATAAAAATTAGCTCAAATTGTTCTGAAAAAAAAAAAATCTCTGAGATTGGAGGTCAGGCTCTGAAAGGCTACTGAAGAGCTTATTTCTGTGTTCCCTACATATGACATTGTCTACACTCCCTCCCCAGCCATTCAAACTATATGTCTGGGCTCATGATGCTCTCACCTCCCACAAAATTAGATCTTGGAGGAACTGAAATGAGACTTCCCCTTCTGTCTGAGGGGAAAAAAAACCCAAACCTCCCTCCCCCCTCCCTAGATTCAGAATAAGGGCTTCAGTACCATGAACTATTGTGATTTCTCTGCCCCTGTAGAAGTCTCCCAGGGTAACAGTCGAGCCCTGTTTGGAAGCTACCACTCGAACGGTCCTTCTGCTGTCTAAACAATCCAAGTAGGGGTCCCAATCCAGGTTCCTCTTGCTGAGAGCCTGGGCCCTGGGAGAGGACATGCCCAAGGATTCTCCCATGCGATCCTGGCAGTAGGATTTGAATTTCCACTGCACCACTGCAGGCTGATGGGAGGATGTGGAGAAGTGACAGCGAAGCACGGTGGGCTGGAAGAGCATGGCCACCTTCTTCTTGTCAGGAACTGAGACCTGAAGGCCTTCGACCAGGGCTGCAAAACAGAATAGACATGTTCAAGCCGGATCCATATCACGGCTCTCATATCATCCCTCCTCACACTTTAATTCTGCATATTTTGGGCTCACAGTTCCGGGTCACCGTCTACTGTGGTAAGGAAGGTAGAACAGCAGGAGCTTGAGGCAGCCAGTCACTGTATCCACAGTCGGGAAACAGAGTCATGAATGTGTGTGCTTGTCTCGAGTTCTTTCTTCTACAGTCTAGATTCCTAGCCCAGGGAATGATGCACCCACAATGAGTAGTTCTTCCCACCACAACCTAACCCAGAGGATCCCCACAGGCATGCCCAGAGGCTGTATCCCAGGTCATTCTAGATCTCATCATGTTCGTAATTTGAAACTAACCATCACATTCGGCAAGACACTTGTTGGGGCCCATAAAGATGGCTCTTCCATTCTAGGTCCGAGGAGAGATTGTAAGACCACCGGAAAGCTCAGGCTTCCAGGATCATAGCCCAGGACGGCGGCCACCCCAATCACTAGGCAGAAGCGAAAGCTTGATGCAAACTTCATGAGGCTTTATTATTGTTTAACGAGCTAACCCCATGTTAGCTCGGGTCTTCCATCCACCCACCATGGCGGATGGCTAGAAAGACAGTTCCAAGCAGCTGCATAGAGACTTATAGGGCAGCATAAGGGGAGTGTCTAGGGGTAAGCACAGGCTCAGGATTGGTGTGCCTCCAGGCTTGGAGGGCTTGCCCTGTGTTAATTGGTCAACTGGTTGTTAAGGCCCATAGGCCCTCCCAGGGAGGTTGCTATGCTCTGTGCGTCATTGCTGTGCACTTGTCCGTAGAGCACACCCAGAGCTGTAAAGCATACCACCACCAGCTAACTTCTGATTGGTTCCTTGCCATGAGGCAGGGATTTGACCTCTAAGTGACCAAGGCAAGATCAGAAAAGTACATGTCCGGCTGTTATGGCTGCCGAAATGGGGAGCTGGTCCCTTCAAGATCAGGCACTAGGGAGATTTCCAGAGATCTACAAGCATGACACGAACTGCCAATCTAGGCAATGGTGGAGAGGATAACCTAAATGCCCTTCCCCTATAATGAGACTGATGACTACTTTTTATGCCATCCTAGAGCCCTCATCCAGTGGCTGATGGAAGCAGAGGCAGACACCCACAGATATACACTGAACTGAACTCTGGAACCTAGTTGAAGAGAGGGAGGAATGAAGATCAAAGGGGTCGGTACCAGGCTGGTGAAAACCACAGAAACAGCTGTCTGGGAGGCCAGCACTGGACTGAATCAGATTCGTGAACATGGATGTCAACGAGGAGGCCTCTGCACTCTAGGGGTCCCTGGTAGTGGATTAGTATTTTTTCCCTGGTGTAAGAAGGGACTTTGAGAGCCCATCCCATGTGAAGGGATGCACTCTTAGCCTGGACACAGGGGCGAGGGCCCCGGCCCAGGATGATGTGGTGGACTTTGGGGAGCCCCGTCGAGGGCCCTACCCTGCCTGGGGAGTGGAGGGTGGATGAGGTGGGGGGCAAATGGGGAGTTGGGGGTAGGGTTGGGAGGGAGGGGAGGGAGAAGGGATTGACATGTGAAGCAAGCTTGTTCTGAATTTGAACTAATAAAAAAAATGTAAAAAAAAAAAGATGGCTCCACTTCATCTTGGCTCAAGGTCAGAGAGTTCAAAACTATCCCTAGTAAGTCATAAGACCTAAAGGTCTAAGGCGTGGCTACAGTAGGATGTTTGATCTTGGCCTTGGGTGTCTTATCTAAATAACAACAGATTTGGTATGAGGTGTGGTTACTCTTGACCTTCAAGACCAGATAACGAGAAATTGAAATCTAAGATGTGGTTATTGAATCCTTGGAGAATTGAAGAAAAAAGTCTGTTTGTTCTGTATACATGATTCCATGTTCCCTTTTTGGGGGTAAGGTATTTAAGAATGAAGTCGGGGTGTTCTGCATTCACTGGACTGCCCTCCTGACTCTATCCTGTGTCTCTGTCTTTCTCTTAACATCTTTCTTTACCTAGCCTTTCTCAACCCACACTCCCCCTCTCAGATATGAACCAGGGGCAAGTTGGATGGTTCCGACTGTAGCCCCACAAAGCCGGGTTCCCACAGACATTCTAATATCCACCAGCTAGCTTCTTGCCTTCAGCTTCACCCTTCTGACATAACTCTATTTGCACACCAAGCCTCACAAATACCAAATACCTGAATGTGAGCCATGCTATCCCATGTCTCTCAGTCTTCGCACACAATGACCCTTGTTTCTGGAATGCTTTGCCTCACTTCCCTTGGAAATTTGTTTTCCATCATTCAAAACTCAATTCAAAGTCCTCTTCGGATGCATTCTTCAACCAGTTTGTCGCTTCCTCCTTCTTTGTGTCAGCAACATATATATTTCTTGTATACACAGTTATTGTAACAATGCTCTGAGTTTTTCTTTTCATGCCCTTTCAGGAAAGGGTATTATATTGTCTTGACAACCTTGATTATGAAGCCCAGAAGTGCTGAACAAATACTTGATAAATAACAATGATATCGGGAAGTATGATTTCAAGAGAAGTTGACATGCCTTCCAGATGGTGACCCAAGCAAAGGGAAGAAATAAAGAAGTCTTTTCACAATGGGGAGAGCTCAGATCCAAAGCAGTAGATTAGGTGGAACAGCTTTGAAGAGTAATCAGAAGTAGAAAAGACACAAAAATCAGATGAGAAGAGATGCCAAAGGAAAAGAACAGGGTAATTACAGTGAATGAGAGACCAAGGGGTTTGAGAGACAAAGAGCCTGTGTGAATTCATTAGTAAAATCTAGAAAAATCTAAGCAATGAGAACACAACTTTCTAAGTGAGTGGGAGAGTCTAACAGAGTTTCAAGCCTAGAAACTTCTGTTAGAAGAGGAAAAGAGAGAGAGAGAGAGAGAGAGAGAGAGAGAGAAAGGTGATGAGAAACAGAAAAGAAATACAAAGATAAGTGGAAGAGGTTCTGAGCTGAATACAAGAAAGCAGAACCCCCGACCCCCACCCCCCACCCCCGTTTTGGTTTGGGTTTTGGTTTTTTGAGACAGGATCTCTCTGCATAGCCCTGGCTACCCTGCACTCTCTGTAGACCAGGCTGGCCTCATACTCAAAGATCCACCTGCCTCTGCCTCCCAAGTGTTGTGATTAAAAGCTTGCACTACCACATGGGCCCAACATGTGGCAGAAGGTTTTGCCTTAGAACTGCAGCATAGGCTTGAGACAGGTGAGGAAGGGTACCTTCCCTTTGAGAGCCTTCTCCTCTGTGTCTATGGTACAGCTCAAACACACTTCTTAGGAACTTGCCTCCTTAGCGAAGCAGCCTTGACAAGGATAAGATGTACTCGTGTCTCCTGCTTTCTAGACCCGTATCCCTCCCCCATGAAAGGCACAGTGGGAAACATGAACTTTAATTCTCATTATGAGAAACTGATTTCTCCTTTCCATGGAATTTGGTAATGAACACAAGAGAGTGTTTTGGACCAGCCATGTGCTTACAGGCTACCCATAAATAAATGAAAGAATGGAGCATATGACTATTAGTATGAGGATCTCGAGGGCTTTGCAGAGGAAAGTAGTGAGTCATACATAGATCGTATAATACATTAAAATAGTGTTGGCACCAAACAGGAAGGGCTTGGAATATAATCTGCCAACATACTAGTGGCAAGGCCTTAAAATCTGTGTAGCAATCTGAGATTCATTTTCCTCACCTACCCAGGAAGTATGCTTCCTCCTAGGGACAGCACAAACATGAAATCTCACTGGGCACCTTCAAGGAGCAGACTTAATGGAGGTTCACTGACAGGTCCACCTCACATGACAGTGTCCCCTCACCATTTTCTCCTTTGTCTTCACTTCCTGTTCTGATGCTACTGCGACTCAAGGACCATCTCCTACCACCAGGTTTGATCATACCCATATTGTGTGGATCAGCCCCATCGAAGGGTAAGGAGCAATTCCATCTGGAAGCTCAGTTGATGTCGCTAACTCCACTCTCCCTGATTCATAGGGCTGCAGTAGCAACATACATTACTTTACAGTCACTCCTTAAATTATACAGCGCCAATTTTGGGCCCTGTAATACTTCCAATCTTTATTCATATCCCAGTTTTCCAGGAGACATAAATGGAACAGAGAGGTGACACGGATTCCATTAATAACAGCTGTGTTGGGATGAGACACAGGCACTGTTGCCAGGACACACCATGCTCTTGACCACACCAGTTCTCTGCTCTGCACCCTGCTGAGGCTCTACTTGGGAAAATCACAGTTCCTGGCCTCTCTAGGGTAAATAAAACCAGCAAGGGGGAAGAGTGCAACATAAAAGCATTGTTTGTTGAGGTTTTAAATGTTACTCTTTTTTGTTTTTTTAAGGAGAGTCAAGTTTGGGGTTTTGTTCATTAGATGATTGCTGAGAATAACCTCCTCAGCAGCTCTGTTCTCTGTTAATGAGATTAGTCACTTGAGCAAGCCAAGCCATTGAGCTCTCTTAATCAATTATTAATAGAGGTTAGTCAGCTCTCAGCTTCTTCTGTGATAGACACACAAACTCATGCTCTGAAGAATCAGAAACACATTCTCAGAAACATCTGCCTTTTTGCAGCATGGTGGTGAAAGGCCTGGATTTGGGAGTCAGTCCTAAATTAGAATCCAGCGATGTAGCCTTGGGCAAGGTACTCAACTCAAGCGCTTCAGAGTTCTTATGAGTAAAACCGTAACAATAGTAACAGCCTTACAGGATTGTTTAAAGGTTAAATGACATTTTATCCTAAATACTGGTGGTAACAGATGATATCTATTAAGCACTGAAGATAAGCAACTGCTGCTGTCCTTGCTGTGACTATCAAGAAGTATCTGTTGGCTTCTGTGGAGCTGTGGTCCCCAAGCTAGGCACACTTGTGTGTGAGGTGCTGGGTGTGAAAGGGGCAGAATGAGCAGAAAATACATACGCATGCTGGAATATACCATTAGGAGGTCCGTGGTGATAGTGTCT